ACTCCATTGTATATTAAAAACAGCAGTTTCTCCTAAAAGAAAAACTTTCAAAATTTTTAAAAAGCACATCCTGGGGCAAGAGGATAGAGTTAAGGCAGCTTAAGGATAGAGTGCTGACAAAGTATGCTCAATGCTCTGGGTTCAATCCCAGCACGGTAGTGGAAAGCGTACCTATAGGCAGAACTGTACCCAAGCACACATTCAGGAGCTGGGGATTTAGCTCAGCGGCACAGTGCCTGCCTGGCAAGCACAAGGTCATGAGTTCAATTTCTGGTACTGGAAGAAAAACAAAACAAAACAACAACAACAAAAAAAACCAAGCACACATTCAGCATTAATTATTTTATAAATTTAGTAACTATAATTAACCGTGGAGATTTTTAATATGTGTAGGAAAAAATGACAGCATAGAAGTTTATACCACTGACAACTAAAAAACTAATTTCAACAACTGCATTCTACCATAGGAGGTAAGAAAACAGGCTTCAGAACATGCCTAGATTGCAGCCTGCTTCTATTCATAACACATCTTGTGACTTTGGGGAAATACTTTGACCTTTCTATACCCCGGTTTTCTCATCTCTAAGATGGGAGAGATACTGGTACATTACACAGGTACTGTGAAGATAAAATGCAAAAATATAAGAAAAGGAGAGCAATACCACCACCCAGCAAGACTACAATAACCGTTCATTTTTAAAGAAACACTTTAAAGGGCTACTCTGACAAACCACAGTGTAATACAAACACCATTAGAACCTTAGAGTAATACACAAATGACATTCTTAGTGGACACAACCAATGAGTTACGTCCCAGCTCTGTGGTCATAAAGAGATCCACCCTCAAAAAAAGACATTTGAGTAGATATACTGTAAACCATTATCATTTTCTACTAGAAATCACAATTCTCCAACTCAGTGGCTCAGCATGAAAGGAAATTTTTAAATGAGGCCTCTTTTTTTAAATGGGGCCTCACTATGTTGCCTAGGATAGCCTTGAACTCAATCATCCTCCTGCCTCAGCCTCTAGAATAGCTGGGACAACAAGCATGTGCTAGACTTGTGCCACTACAAACTTTGTGATTTAAGGGGCGAGGGATCTAGCTCAGTGGCACAAGTGCCTGCCTCGCAAGCACAAGGTCCTGAGTTCGATTCCCAATACCACCCACCCAAAAAAACTTTGTGATTTAGCTATAATGAACTTTACCTACTAGTATGTCCTGAATAGTGCAAGTTTATGACTTGTTAGGTTCACATCATTATTAGTGGGACCTCTTGCACAATAAAAATTGTCAAAAGATTGAAATATTCCAGGGCCATCACACAGATAGGCCCGTTGCAGAAAAGAAATATGGGTGAGAGACAAAGCGGGGACACTCTGACCAGGAGAGGTCTGCAGGTCCCCTTTAGGCTGCCTTCCACGCTTTGTTCAAAAAATGTAAAAATTAGGAGACTCTTAACAATGATCTCAAGCCCAACCAAATAAGGCTGCGCTTCAATAAAGAACTCAGGAAAAAGCAAACAGCAGGTGTCCTTCCTTCTGATTTCAAGGGTGCCCAGAACCTACTCTGTATGAAGCCTACTCGTGGAAGACAAAAAATAAAGAAATCCTTTCCACGAGTCTGTCAGCAGAATCAGCACTTGTGAAGTGTTTGTAAATTCTTGAAAAAAAAAAAAAAAATGGTGCCAGCCAGATGCCATGGTCCTCTTCCTATGATCTCAACTACTTGGGAGGGTGGGGCAGGAGGGTGGAAAGTTAGATGCCACCCTAAGGAGACCCTGTCTCAAAAAATAAAAAGGGGCTAGGGATGTTGCTCAGTTGGAGAGCCTTTGGCCAGAGAAGATTTTTATATGTTTAAGATATTTGCCAATAATTTGAACGTGGAGTCATAAAATGCAGATTTCCACAAGTTCCTGCAACACTGAACTTGCATTCGCTCCTGTAATATCCAGCTGGAGCTGAGTGGCACCTGGAGAAAGGACACCGACTATCCAGTCCTCCACAGCGCTCTCCAACCCTCTTCCTAGGCCCTGGAGTCTGTAACCTCCAATGAGTGACTGGAGATAATCTCTGGGGAGACCACATTCAGCCCTTCAGATTATCCATCATCTGCCAGAGCTTCTTTCATTCAGTGCAAATAGGAATCAAGAACTTATCTGGGAAATGACAATAAGCAGGAAATTTGGTTCTTATTTTCTTCTATGGAGAGCCATATGGCTTCCACTGTTCCCACTAGGCTAAAAGGGAAAAATGAGCCTAAACATGTTGTCTGAGAGGTGGTAACACATTCAGCTCTGACCCTTAAATATCTAGTGGAAGTCTTTTAAAAAGGTTGCTTGTGGGCTGGGGATTTAGCTGAGTGGCACAGCACCTGCCTGGCAAGTGAGAAGTCATGAGTTCGATTCCCGGTACTGGAAAAAAAAAAAAAAAGATAGTTTGGACATTTTTGGGGCTGGGGATTTAGCTCAGCGGCAAAAGCGCCTGCCTGGCCAGCGTAAGGCCGTGAGTTTGGTTCCCGGTACCGGAGAAAAACCAAAAAAAAAATAGAAAGGTTGCTTGTAATCTACTGTCATTAAATGACAGACTGGACTCAACAACCACCACTGAAGACTCAGGAAGCCATGACCAGCAATAAAATTAGCAAGAATGTGTTTATCACATTTGAAGAAATAACCAAAATCTTGGAAAAACGCAATTTATTCCTCCTTACTGCCAAAACTAGAATATTTTAATATAATAAAGGTAGTGATAACTTTCATGAACTTTCCAAAGTCTTAATATGTGAAAGCTAAGAAGTTTCAGGCAAAGGAGCACAAAATGAAATTACTGAATCATGGTTATGATTTTCAAACAATTTGCAGTAAAGGACTTGCCAAAAATTTTGATTATAAATCAAAATTGTTCCCTTCATGTAGGGACTTTGATTAATATAGTATTTGTTTTACAAATTAACTGGTGAAATGGAAGGTAAAGAATTTTTCTTCAATTCCACTACAGTTTTTTTGTGAAAAACCACCGGTCAAACAGAAAGTATTTCTGTTATAGACGCTAGAATTATAAAACAAGAAAAAGTTAAAACCTTATTTATAGCATGTTTTTTTCATCTGACTATTAATTTCCCAGCTACCAAAAGAACTTCCACAATGTCACATGGTGCAACCTGAGACTTTATTTATTTATATTTTGATAACCCTAACAATATTTTTCCCCAAGAACCTAAGGTACTCTGCAAACACTGAATAACCGTTTCTAAAGCAGCATTTTTGGATGCTTTGATATTGTTTAAAAGATTATTTACATGTTTAAAACCACAAGCTGTTTTCAAAGGCACAATCACTGTGGTTAAGTTTTCCTCTTGCTGTTAGATAAGGGCTCTACCAGTTTATAAGGAAGTAAAAGTTCCGTTTTGCAACAGAACACTTAGATTTAGTAAATTCTGACTAAATATGGAGAATAAAAATAGAAAAGCAAAACACTTAAATGACGTGCAATCTCTTCTACACTGATTTTTAAGTCACCTAAATACTATTGGAGAGAGCTCGTCTCCAATGTGTGTGTAAACAATTGCAAACCAGAAGGTCTCCTCCCCACTCTACACGCAAACGCAGAACCGTACTTTCTGACCGTCTCTTCGTGTCTGGTAACTCCCCTAAACCCGCTCAGAAATCGCCCCCGGGCCGGATATCTGCAGGTGCTGAGGCGACGAGGACGCGACCTGCCAAACGGGTGAAGGTCCTGGACTCGACCTGAGAACTTGAGAGGGGTCTCTAGGAACCCCACCCTCTCCTGCATTCCCAATTACACACACACACACACACACACACACACACACACACACACACACACACACACACACA